GTGCCCTGCGCCTGGGCACCTGGGGATGAGGGAGGCTGTCATCCAGCTCACACCCAACTCACCAGGCCACAAGCCCAGGGGCTGCATCAGCCCAGAGGGGTGTGGATTGGTCAGCGCCCCCACATGAAATTTCCATCAGAGTTTAATTTGAAAACTATTTACATATAAAACCATCAGATTTCATGAGAAAAAAAAAGGAGTAAAAACTATTTACAAAGGCAGACTGGGTTAAGGATAGTCAACAGGGGTAGAGGCACCCTGGGCTAGCAAGTGGGGGAAGCCATTACCACATTAGGCCTGAAGGGGCCAAGAGAGGGACCCCTTACAGGAGGCTAACAAGAGCTGTGGTTGGGAGCATTGCTCACAAAACACGACCACAGCCAAATGCTTCCACCGCCGTGCCCACCTGAAGCCAGAGGCATGGAAGCCTGTTTGATGTGTCCATAGAGATCAGCCTCCTGGAACCAAAAGCAGTCTCGGGAAAGGTGAGGAGTGGATGTGGAGGGCAAAGGAACCCTCCCAGGCCAGGAACCCATTCTCCATCTGGGCCAGCCAGGGAAAGCCTGATTTGCATCTTTCTTTCACTCCCCATCAACTGCCTCATCTCCCCTTGGAGATCTCTCATGCTCCCACTGCTGCCACCACCTTCCAGACACTCTCCCATTTCCCTGTCTCAGCCCCACCTCTCCCTGACTGCAGGAGCAACCAGGGGAAGGAGGGACTTGCCCATCCACAAGTCGGCAAGCAGGAAAACCTGGAGGCCTGCTCTGGGAACCCACCCACTCCTACTCCTGCTCCTAGCAGGCATATAAAGTCTGTGGGAAGGATGGGCCATGCCCACAGTGCCAGCAGCCAGTGACTATTCCCAGTGCCCGCCAGAGATGAGTTTTTATGTCCAAGGAGTGGCGCTGGATCAGGTCTTCCAGCCAAAGACCCGGCAGAGGTCAACAAAGGAGAGATCCAAGAGCTGGAGGCAGCTAGGGTGCAAGCAGCTGGCGCTGGGGAGCTGGAGCACAACCCCCTTCCTCCTGTGGTAGACCCCTGGAGAGGGTCCCTGGCCAGTGCCCGTGGGCAATGTTTTTAACCCACAAGCCTATAGTGCTCACTGCATGCCCTGCAGGCACTGTTCTGAAGGTTTTACAGATTTCCCCCATTTAATCCTCATAAGAGCACCATGAGGGAGGCCCAATTATTGTCTCCATTTTAAATATGGGAAAACTGAGCCACCAAGGGCTTAAATATCCTGCATCAGATCACACAGGGAGCAAATGGGAGAGCAAGATTCAAGCGCAAGCAGCCTGGTGCCTGGGTGTGTTCTTGGGCCTGCTGAGCCAGTGTGAGCATGTCCACTGCACCCCTGCCAGCACAGACACCAGCAGCCCCAGCCCAGGCCCCTGCCCCGGCACGTCAGGCGTCTCTGGAAAGATGTTCCCTGCCACTCACTGAGCAGATCTGAACAGTCCCAGAGATGACCCAGGGCCTGTGTGGCATGCAAGGGGACGTTTTGGCTGCCTTCCTGTGACGCAGCCTCTGAAATACAGAAGGGCAGCAGGAGGCTCAGTGGGGAGAGCTCTGAGACCCCACATCTCTGGGAGCAGGAAGAAGCCAGATGGGGCAGAGGGAGAGCCAGGCTGCAGGGCAGTGCAGACCCCAAGGGGAGTGTAAAGATGGGCAGGCCCTGCACAGCCGTCGTGGGCTGGAGTGAAGGAACCACTTCATGGTCAGGTTTCTCCTGCAGATCAGTCCAGGGAGGGGGCATGGGCCAGGCAAGGCAGTGCCCTCAGCTGCAGCACCCCATGGGCGGCTGAGGTTTTTGCGGGCCCTACGCCAGCACGTGGGGAAACGAGTCCTGCATTTTTGGGGGGGATCTGGGAAGCACATGGCAGGGAGCACATGCCTGTAGGGAGCATCGGAGCCCCTGACTGGCCTTCCACGGCCATCTAGGAAGGCTCCCCGTGCCCTCATTCCTGGATATCTGGCTGTATCCTCCAGGACCCAACACCTCTCATCAGGGCTAACGGCAGCCACAGGCTGGCAATTCCTCAAGGATGGAAGCTTTGGGAATCTCGTATCCTCTTCCTTTCCACACAAGGCCCACCATCTCCTGGCTCTCTTTTGTGCCCCATAATGAGCCCTGAATTAGTTGACGCCCCCATCCCACAAGAGCGCTAGAAGTTTTCTAAGAATCTTGAAGATCACAACTATCTGGATACACACAGGGGTACAAACTAGCAAGCATTTTTAAATTACAAGAAAGGGAAACACTTGGAAAGTCTGTCCTGAGCTCTGGTGACTGGCAGTCTAAGCCCCGCCTGCCAGAACACTCAGCCCGCTCTCTGGCCACCAGCTGGACTCACTCCTCATCCCTCATTCTTTAATCCCAGTCAGTGACTCTCAGTCCCTTCATGGTGACTTGCTCTCCAGTTTTCGGGACTCCGCTAGCCTTGTCAAAAGCAAAACAGATGCTCAGGAGGCCAGAGAGAGTTCTGATTATACCGCAGAAGAAACTCGAGGCCGGGTAGCCACTTTCCTGGGCTCCGACTTCATTCCTGAACTGCCCAGGCCTCTTATTCACAATCAGAAAGTGACAGGGAAGATTACAGTGGCAGGAGTACAAAAAATTGCTCAAAGCCACCTTCTTTCTAAACATAATTTACACTACAATGACAGTCGCTTCCGACAGCAGCTTATGTGAAGGGAACGGAGGTGACTCAGGGAGCCCACTCAGAGGCCCGGCCCACACCGCCTTAGCCAGGAAAGGAAGCCAACAGACACTTCCCCATGGAGTCCCAGGGCAGCCAGAGCCAAGTGGGTGGCTGCACCTGTCCCTGCAGTAACGCAGGCCCTACAGGAACTTTCTGAATTTAGCCCCATAGAGGAGGCACAGGGACCAGCTGATCCCGGAGAGGCCACGGTCAAGAACACATTCCTGAGGCCCAAGACAAGGCAAGAATCAAATAGCAGGGACAGCAAGTGGCTTACAAGTGGAGAAGACCCTGGAGCCGTGCCAGCCACCCGGGGCAGGACGGCTGCAATCTCGCTGTTGTGGGAACGGAGGCCTTTTGTGCCCCATAATGAACTCTGAATTAGTTGACACTTCCACCCCACCAGAGAGCTAGAAGTTCTCTAAGGATCTTAAGGCCTTTTCTCTCCCAAGAGTCCTCCCTGTGAGGTGTTCGTCTCCTCCTACCTCTCCTTGACCTCTCCTCATTCTGGGGAATAACCATCAGGACAGACACACATGGGTCCCTGCCCTACAAGCTCTATGCCCCACCTCCAAGAGAGGGCTACCCATCCTGGAAGCCCTTAAGCTTCCCTGCATCCCGTCCCTCTTTCCACACACCTTCCAGCGGCCAACAGGACTTAAGGCTAAGAATGGGGATGGGGCCAGCCTTCCAGGTCCTCCCATCAGAGGGGAGGAGGAAATGAGAGTGTCCCTTGATTTTTTATAGTTGTGTCTGACCCAAAGCCCTGGCACATGGCATAGACAAGAGGCAAAGAATCATGCCCACAGAAACACACAGCCCTGCACCAGCTGTCCCACCGCCACTCAGCTCAACAAGCAGGGGGAGGACCTCGGACTGGCCCATGCCACATGCCACACTCCTTGGGACTGCCACAGAAGAGCTCAGAGCCTGCTAGAATCCTGATACAAGCCGTTGTGACTGGATTTTTTTCTGGATGTTGAAACACGAAAACAAAACAGACAGTCCCCTGTATCCACAGAACTCAAGATATCCAACAGTCTCAGTGTGGCAGCTCCTCCTCCACCAACAAGGACACTTGTCACGCAGCTAGCTGTGCACAATCTGTGCCACTTGTTTCAGAAGTCTCGAGCACACGTTTGCCACATGGGCAGCATGAGTTAGACTAGCTTCCTATTAAATCTGGGTTTGCAGTCTCCCCATCCTTACTCTGAAATGAAATTTCTCTCCCTGTCCTCAGATGAGGCAGATGAAAGTAAAGTAAGAGACAGAGAGCAGTGCCGTCCACTAACAATGCAGGCAGAGGCTCTCCCTTACAAGCTGCTTGCCAAGAAAGTAGCAATTTACATGCTTTTTCTTATCACAAGCCCTTTCATTATGTCCACAAGATAAATTCCAGCTAAGTGGAGGTCCGCAGTGCTATTTTGAGCCAGGAGGTCTGCCTTCCAGACTGTTTTGCCACCCACAGACATCATGAACTTGAGAAAGTCATTTCTCTTTCTTTCAAAGAACAGCAATCATAAGTCCTGTATCCCCTCCATGTACGTTATCTCTTTTAATACAACAACTGTTTGAGGCAAATCTTATCATCACTCTCACATTACAGGTGAGAAAACAGAGGCTTATGAAAGCTAAGTAGTTTGCTTGTTCCCAGTACAGAGGTAGCAGAGAGCTACTGCTAGAGGTCTTCAAACTTGAAAAGTCTGGTTTCAAAGCTAATGCTCTTAAAAATCTTATACCCTGCCGCCCTGAAAAAGGAGGACACACGGCTGTAAGCAACAGCAACCACACTGGCTAATATGGATCAGAAGTGAATTAATTAAAGGACACTGGGGGCCGGGCGTGATGGCTCATGCCCGTAATCCCAGCACTTTGGGAGGCTGAAGGGGGCAGATCACCTGAGGTCAGGAGTTCGAGACCAGCCTGACCAACATGGAGAAACTCCATCTATACTAAAAATACAAAATTAGCCAAGAGTGATGGTAGGTGCCTGTAATCCCAGCTACTCAGGAGGCTGAGGCAGGAGAATCGCTTGAACCCAGGAGGTGGAGGTTTCGGTAAGCCTAGATCATGCCATTGTACTCCAGCCTGGGTAACAAGAGCAAAACTCTGTCTCAAAAAAAAAAGGACATTGGGAAGCTCATGGAATTACCAAGAGAGGTAGCAAACCAGGCTCTCAGTTAGGTCACCAAGAACATCACCCCAGATCTTACTTCACTAGAGGACCCTCTGGGCACTGCCAATACTGCGGATACTGGGCACTGCTACCACACTGCAGCTACCAGGACCTCAAGAACTCAAGGCTCCTGGCACTTTCGCTAGTGCAGGGTACCAGCTCTTGATTCAGAGCCTTAAATCAAAGACTTGTGATTGATGTAGCCAAGTCATAGACCAGGCCCTAAATCCAAGAAAGGCTGGAAATCACTTATTTAGGAGAAGCCTGTTCTGATCAGGGTCTGTTCCTACCAAGACTCAAAAAGTGGGGAATTCCCCAAACACGAGAAGTGGGCTCAGGTGCCAGGTGGCCCAAAATGACAAATGTCCAACAAATGAGGAAACTGGAGTTCTTCAAGTTCCTTTCAGCAGCCTGAGTCTACCTAATTTAACAGATTGCAGTAGAGTATATTACAATTCTCATTTGTCTGCCCCCCTTCTCTGTGAAATGTTACACATGGTTATTTATTACCATTGCCTTGCAGTATCCCTCCATCCAATGGGAGAATGGTTCCTCAATGGCATTGAGCTCGAGCCAGTAACTTGCTGTGATCAATGGGATATGATATAAACTGGACCCTAGCAGAGGCTTTAGGAGCCATTGCATATGGAGGCTCTCACTTTCATTTTCTCTTCCAATAAAATGATGTGTTCCAAATAGGGATTGGTCCTTCAGCCTGTGCCTCAGAATGGGAAGACACGTGGAACAGAACCTAGGAGTGCTGTGGCAGCCACAACTGACTCACACAGTCTCCAACTTTCATGTGAGCATAGAAATAAGTGTTTCTTATTCTAAGTCACTGATTTGGGGGCAGGAGGCTGTTATTGCAATAAAGCAGACTGATACACATTTACGGAGAACCACTCCACACCACTGTCTAGTGAACAAAGGAAATATATAAGTAGATAGGACTCGTCTCTGCCTTCACGACACTTATCTGTGACATTCTTGAATCATAGCTGGCAGAGAGTGGAAGTGTTTTAAGGAAAGCATAAACACAAGCCCTGAGAAGCAATGGGGAAGGAGACAGATTCTGCCTGGGGTTTCCAGGAGGCTTCCCGGAGGATGCAAAACTGGGATTGGATCTTGAAGACTAAGTCCAGGGTTATCAGAGAAGGTTGAAGAGAAAGGAGGGGATTTCATGCAGAAAAACCAATATACAAATTCAGAGAGGTACAAGAAAAAAAATACAAACATACACACACACACACACACACACACGAACACATAAATATATTCTGGTGTTGCTGGAATATAGACAGGGCGGGGGAGGAGAAGTGGTAGAAAAAATAATAAAATAGAGGTTTCAAAAGGCCCAGAACACTGTCCCAGTAATTTCAACATCATTCTCAAGGAAACAGGAATGACTGAAAGTTTCCACCAGATCCCTATTTTAGAACTATTATCCTAGAAGTGGTAGAATGGAGGTGAACAAGAGGCAGGGAGCACACTGAAGAAGAAAGGTGGTTCAGTGAAAAGCAGTGCCAGATGATGAGGTCCTTACCTGAAACAGCAATAGGAAGAGCAAAACAGTTCACGAAACATTTTAGCAGTGAGATCAGCAAGACCTGACTGGATGAGGATGACACAGGGAAGAATGAGTGACGCACAGAACGCCGGGCTACTGATTTTCTCTAAGCGGACGGTGGAGTTAGTTGTGGATATGAGGGAGGCAGAAAGGGGAACATGCTTGGAGAAAGCTGATGATCTGGTGTTGCGCATATCACCTATGAGGTGATATTCTTTTAAAATTGTGGCTGCTGGTCCCTTTCTGGCCTGTATGGTTACTTCTTTCATGATCTTTCTGCTACAAAAATCAGAGCATATGTAGCTATTCATGGAAGTAATACTTCATTCTTTCTTTTAAAAAACATAGTGTATTTGTCAGGAGAGATCTGGTTGTACTGCAAGAACAAAAACACCCTGAACACCAGTGGCTTACATAACAAAGGTTCACTTCTCACTCATGCTACACGTCCATCAGGGTCACCCAGGATCCCTGCTCCTGTGTCATCGTTGTCATCCTTACACTGAGAAAAGAGCTGCCAGAATACCTGTACCATTGACCATGGAGCATATATTGGCTCCTAAAGCTTCCACCTGAAATTGACATGTCTGAAGAAGTCCAACAGAGGGATTATGTTTTCTCATTTATAAATGCATTTCTCCAGGCCTTGACACCAGATTCCCAATGACTGGCATTCCCAGCCAGGAATGTTTCATGTCTAGACCTGTACTCCCTACATGGCAATCCTTCCAAAAGTCTTCATTGTCTTGAAGGCACCCCCCAATCCCTGACCCCTTCCAACTCTGGACTAAGGATGGAGCTGAGGAGCATCTGCCTCTGCTTCTACAGTAGCTTTTCTCTGCACGAATAAGAAAATCTGGCACAGAACCTATATTTCACTATCAAAGACACCTTTTGATCAAATGTCCCTGTGGTCTGCTGCTGGATTGGGGTGTTTCTTTCTACCCCTGCAGATACGTGTTTGCCTTTCAAGTCTCTGGGCTGTGCAGCCAACTCATTCCAGTACTAAAACAGGGACAGTGATTATATTCCTACGTGGTTCTGCAATTAACAGACTTTTCCTAAGTAAATGTCCACATGAGCTTCATCCTACAAAACTGTAAACAGATGCCACAAATGTTTCTGCCACCAAGGTTCACCAATTAGAGCTACCAAGCCATGAGCAATGGTCCATGAAATATTAAAACTTCTTCAAAATTAAACATATATTTATACATTTTTAAAACCCTAAGTCTAAATGTATTTATAAAGCCAGATTTTATTTTCTGTGTTCTGCTTTCTAGAACAGAGCTCTCTGGGCATAACAAATTCCTCCCCTCAGTCTTGAAGAGCCCATCAAAGCCAGGCATCTGCAATGAGATGTTTTCTACTCATTGCCTGATGGACATCAATTGTTCTCTATTTTCTCAAACTGTGAATAGTAACAGCCTGTCAAACTCAGGTACCCTGGCAAAAGGCAAACAGCAGAGGCCCTGCCACTGCCCAAACCACCAATACCCTTAGGTGCCAGGCAGGCTGGCAGTTGGATATTTCCTGAGCATTTCTGATATACCAGATACTGTGCTAAGTACTTAGCATGGGTTATCTTACTTAATCCTCATAACAACTCCACCACATAGGCCCTATGCTTACCCCCATTTTACAAAGGAGGAAACTGAGTCCTAGAGAATGATATGGAAAGAGAGCAGAGAGTAGGTGGCATATGGAGTCTTAGAGGATAATTAGAAATAATGCAGGAGTTCAAAAGAGGAAGGACACCCAAGCAAACTGAGTGGCATGAATAAAGGCATGGAAATGCAGAATATTGTGTGTTTGCAGAATGGTATAGACTAGGAAGGCTAAAGCACTGAGTACTTAGGTAGAATTGCCTAAACATCCAACTAGGAAGGTCAGCTAAGGCCAAATTGTGATGAAACGCAAATGTGGTGTGGAATAGTTTGGACCTCTGACTTCAGAGACTAGGCAAGCAACCAAGGAGAGAAGTGGGCAGGTGTAAGACAGTAAGGAGTTGTGAGGACTGGCAAACCAGAAGGTACACAGCTTCAGCTGTAAAGGCAATCAAATTCTTTAAGTGTGAGCTGAATTTGGCCTTTAGGGAATCAGCTTGCAAACTCTACAAGGCAATGTGAAGCTGATAAGGGGAATTAATCAGAGACTAATACTGTCAGATGGTTTTGTTCAAAAATCTCCCTCTGACAACCATGTGGAAGACGGGCTACGTGCGGCAAGACTGGAGACAAGGGAGCCACCAAGGAGGTAGATGCAGGAAAGTAGAAAGACATGATGGGACCGAGGACCTGGGTGATACCAATGGGTAGAGAGAGAAAAGCGATAGATTTGAGAATGAAATATTAAAAAGGAAGAAGCTGGCAAGACTTAATACAAAAAGGACATGGGGAAGATGGCATGGGCGTTTCAAAGATAATACCCAAGCTTTTGGTGCAAACCATGGGGTAAAAATTGCTGTTAAACCCAGGGCGGTGGAGGAGTGAAAGATAATAAGCGTCATTTCAGACAACCTGATGGGCAGAGCTTTGACATTCTGCTACCACGAGAGGCCCTCAGGGCTAGCATGGGTCTCGGCCAAGACTCCTTGCTAGCTCCATGGTTGAATAACTGAAGAGCCCATCCAAGAGAATAGCTTCTTCTGTATTCCAGGCGTTGACCAAAAGTTCTGGGGGTACTACTAGTGCCTGCTCTGTGTTGCACCAGGATACCTATTGATGCCTGAGGTCACCAGGTACCAGATGTGATTTCATGTGTCAACTTGTCTGAGCCATGGGGTACCCAGATATTTGGTCAAATATTATTCTGAATATGCCCGAGGATGTTTTTGGATGAGATGAACATTTGAATCAGTAGATCTACTATTGCAGATTGTCCTTCCTAATGTGGGTGGCCTTCATTCAATCCGTTGAAGACTCACCTGAGTAGAACAAAAGGCTGACTCTTCTGCGAATAAGAGTGAACCCTGCCCGCCTGACTCTTTGAGCTGGAACACTGGTCTCTTCCTGTCTTCAGGCTTGAACTGAACATTTGCTCTTCTTGGGTCTCAAGCCTGCCAGCTTTTGGACTGGAACTTACACCATCTGCTCTCCTTATTCTCAGGCCTTCAGACTCTGAACCACACCATGGCCTCTCACAGACCTCCAGGTCGCCAACTACAGATCTTGCGGCTTCTCTTCCTCAATAATAGGGTAAACCAATTTTTTTTTTTTTTGGACGGAGTCTCGCTCTGTCGCCAGGCCGGAGTACGGTGACTCGATCTTGGCTCACTGCAACCTCCGCCTCCCAGGTTCAAGTAATTCTCCTGCCTCTGCTTCCCAAGTTGCTGGGACTACAGGCGCACACTGCCATGCCCAGCTAATTTTTTTGTATTTTTAGTAGAGACAGGTTTCACCATGTTGGCCAAGATGGTCTCGATCTCTTTACCTCGTGATCTGACCTCTTCAGCTTCCCAAAGTGCTGGGATTACAGGTGTAAGCCACTGCGCCCGGCCAAGCCAATTCTTTATAATAATCTCTTTATATATATATATATATATATATATATATACACACACACATACATATATACACATACATATACATACACACACACACAGACATATGCAGATCATGTTTGCTGCATGCGTGCATGTGCATGTTAGAGGGGGAAGGAGGGAGGCTGTATATGGGTGTGTGCCTATGTATGCGTGTGTACCTATGTGTGAATGTATGTGAGTAGGTATGTCTGTGAGTGTCTGAGTGATTGCATATGTATAAGTGTGTATGTGTTACTATGTACATGTGTGAGTGTGTATATGACTCTATAAGTCTTTACCCAGGTTTAACTCTCCTTGGCTTTCCTCAGTATGAATTCTTCTATAGAAACATTCCGGCATCTTCCTGAAGTTCTTCGGAGTCTAGTCTTCAGCACTGAAGGGTGCCTGAGCAAGGCAGCTGGGAGACAGCTCAGGTGTCAGAGACATACTGAAATCTCACCTGAGCAGCTTTTCTTGAAGTCAGGCTTTAATCATGCCCCAGGGCCAGGTCCTCCATCCCCCCATCCCCAACACAGGCTCGTTGGCATGCAGGGGCTTGTGATGCCTCTCATCAGGAGGCCAGGCCAGCCACGGAGGAGGGAGGCTGGATCAAGCAAATTCCAGCCCTAAAGCAACTCAGACAGAGCGGGAAGGGGCCCCTGGGTTCCTGCCATCTTCAGCATGCTCCTAATAACTTAAGGCAATTTTTTAAAAAGTGGATAGATGCCCTCTGTCCACAGCAAACAGGAAGGCAATCCTCCTTCCTGGGGCTGCTGACAGGGTCCTGTCTCTGCCTCCAGGAGACACCCTCAAGCCATAGGTTCTGTCAGCAGTGATCAGGGCAACATCAACTGGACCTGAATCCACACAGTACTCTGGGCAGACCCTGCTCAACACGTCAGCGGGCAGGACAGGCCCGCAAGCTTTGTGATCTGGAGTGCATTTTTCAGCTAACTCTTCTGGAAGTCCACAGGCATCCTCCAGAGCAAAAGGAGGGACAGGCAACAGGGTAGGGAGCTCTCCAGATCCCCCAGACCACACAGGCCTGGGACTGGAGGCCAAGCTCCCCACCGCCATTCTACCTGCCCAGCACTTGGACAAAGTCAGCTGTGGAGGCCTTCAGTGTTCATAACCCACAGCCGCTCCAGTCAGCTGTGCTGCTGGGTGCAGAGCAGAGTTCTCTTGCCAACCAGCACCACAGATGCACTGTCCACTGGGTACTCCGTAGAAGCTCAGCCTGGAGCCACCAGCTCCCACTTCCTGGCAAAAGTCCCATTGAGACTAGCAACACTGGAAAAGGTCAGAGCCAGAGAGGTAGGGCCAAGTGGGAGAGAGCCCACCAGAGCCCCTGGGGGCCTCAAGGAGACAAGGGCAGGAACAAGGAACTCACTGAGGACAACACTGTGACGCCACACCCCTGCCCCAGACTGGAGCCTGCTCTGAGGACAAGCTCCCTGCTCGCTATAGGCCTTTGCCTGCCGCCTACTCTGTACCTCCCACTCTTGCTGAGTGTGCTGCTGGAGTAGAAAGAGAAAGACACTACACGAGGATTTATTCTGCTTATGTGTAAATCCATAGCTGCCTTCAGCAACAACCAGGCAGGGTAGAAGCCAATCATGGTTTCTCATAAGCAACTGAGGCAGCACAGTATACAGGCTTTGAGAAAGCTCTGCAGGAAGCCCCGTCCACAGCATAGGGCTAGGAATCCTGCCAGCATGGCAGACATGTGGGAAGGGTGAGGAAGTCATGCCAGCCGTACCACCCCTGCCTGTTCCCCTCATCCCTCCCCAGTCCTGAGTGCCCTGGAGGAAGAAGCTCAGACACCCTGTGCTTGCCTATACATGAGTGGATACAAGTGCATACGCATCGGGTTGGTTACCCTCCCCCTTTCTCTGCCAGGCTCTGGGCCTGGGAAGGAGGCCCTTGCCAATGCAGCACCCAGCCTCCTCAGTAAGGCTCAGCCAAGGGAAGCCATCCATAGGGGATCAGAGGGTAGCAGAGTGGTCAGGATATTTCTCCTGCCCCTGCAGTGCTTTAGGCCCACATGTCCACTGTGACTGTATCTCGTACCAGGCAGCATCACTTCCAAAGCTCTGGTTCCTACCCTACCCTGGTAACACTATTTCTCCCCTTGTCCAGCCAGCCCTAGGTGTGCCAAGAGCTCCCTCCTGCTGTGAGTCTCTGGGTCCCTCACCCTCTCTTATTTGCTCCCTTAACTCTGCCTCGATCTCTTCATTGTGATCCTTTCATGTAAACAACTGGTATATATTCTACTTCGGGCCAGGTCACTTCTGATAGGTGTGGTTGTATATGTGTGTGCCAGTACTATACACCTGCAGTCTCTATATACCTGCAGCTGTGTATGTGCGTGTGTCATGAACACATGCACAGGACACACCTTTTCCCTGAACTTTCAAGACTGACAGCAAGAAAGCCATCTTCGGGCATCCATCTCTGAATCCCAAAGTGCCCCATTTACTCCCATTTTGACACCATTTTGAAATGATTAGCCTAGGTCTCTACCTAGCCCAACAGCTCAACACTAAGCTCATGGCGGGCAAGGGGAAAAAAAAGAAGTGGGAGAAAGCAGGGAAGAGGAAGGGTGGAGAGAGGAACAACGGAAAAGATGCCTATCATGAGGCCGGGAGCGATGGTTCCCACCTGTAATCCCAGCATTTTGGGAGGCTGAGGCAGATGGATCACCTGAGGTCAGAAGTTCAAGACCAGCCTGGTCAACATGGTAAAACTTTGTCTCTACTAAAAATACAAAAATTAGCCAGGCATGGTGGCACGTGCCTGTAATCCCAGCTGCTTGGGAGACTGAGGCAGGAGAATTGCTTGAACCTGTGGGGTGGAGGTTGCAGTGAGCAGAGATTGTGTCACTGCACTCCAGCCTGGGCAACAGAGCAAGACTCCATCTCAAAAAAAAAAAAAAAAAAAAAGATGACTATCATTCATTGAGTACCTGAGCTAAAGCAAGAACGTTACAACCACTTCTCCATTCTAAAAACCATGTAGATCACCATTCATCTCTTTACAAGTAGGAAACCAGGGCTCAGAGGCTTTGGGTAACTATCCCAAAGGCAGACAGCTAATGGCAGTGATAGGCGTTCAGCCACAGGTGAGTCTAAGCCCTGGCCCTTTCCATTCCACTGTACTATTTCTCTGTCTCCCTTACCCAAAACATAATCATGGCCACATAGTGGGTACTCAATCAGTGCTGGTAAAGCCGAGCTGAAGCTAAGAAGAAAATCCAATGGCATTCTTAAATACAAAGATAAAGCTCACTGGTCATGAAGAGAGCCAAGCTGGTCAATGCCTGAGCTCAGATCATCTTGAACAACATAATGGAATATGTCTACGGCTTCAGTCCTGCAAAAACACAGAGGGCTTCCCGCTGAGTTACTTCAAGGCTGGCCCTTGGTCAAAGCCATGCATGATATTAAATTCTAGGACAAGAGCTTTCTGATTGATGTATGGTTGAGCCTCAGAAAGACTGAGTTGCTAGCACATCCCTCAGCCTACCCTCTTGGCAAGCCCAGCGCAAGAACTCAATAGCAGATCATTTGCAGACAGTCTATGTTGCTGATGGAAACTAAAATGCCAGGTAATTAACTGGATAGCAATAAGAGTGCTAAATAATTGCCATAACAATAATTACTGGCCTAATTCTCTGGAAGGTCAGATGGCTCAAAGTCTGAGACCTGTTCAGAGGTCAAAGTGGGATCTGGGCATACCTGCCGCCTCACAGTGACCAGTGCATTGCCCTGCTGCCTCTCCCATCCATGTTACTTCCCAGCCTTTAGGTAATCTCCAGAACCCAGAAATGTTACAGCTGTCTGGCCTCAGAAATACCTGCCTATCGTGCCAAAGCTGGCAATGAACTCCTGTTCTGTTGAGCTGCCACCAGGAATGAAGTAGCTTCTTTAGCTTGTTTCATCCTCAGGGCACTCTATTAGTGATCTGTCATCACCTGCAGGGTACAGAGAAGAACCTGAGCTCAGCCAACTTGCCAGCAGTCTCACAGCTGGTTGGTGAGGAAGCCAGGATCCAAACCCAGGTACCCAGGTCCGCCTTGTGCCAAATCCTACTGTCGTTGCCATACCTAATGATGCCAACACCCTCCAAGCCTATTCCAATGCTACAGTACTTTTTTTTTTTTTTTTTTTTTGAGATGGAGTCTTGCTCTGTCACCAGGCTGGAGTGCAGTGGTGCAATCTCGGCTCACTTCAACCTCCGCCTCCTGGATTCAAGCAATTCTTCCACCTCAGCCTCCCGTGTAGCTGGGACTACAGGCGCGTGCCACCACGCCCAGCTAATTGTTGTATTTTTAGTAGAGACGGGGTTTCAACATATTGGCCAGGATGCGCTACAGTACTTTTTATCCACATAGGTCTCCCTAAGAAGCCACCAGGAGTGAGGCCACATTTGCTCAGAGACAGGCACATGTACTGTCTCGAGATCACAGGAGCCGGGCCCCCACCGCGCTGAGTCAGGTCTCACCGCGGCACCCCAACCTCTCCACGCTGCCTCCTACTCTACCTCCTCTCCATAACAGCTATTTATAATCCTTATTTGTATAAACAAAACAGTGTATTCTGGCTTTTTTTTTTCCTGTACTTTAAATAACTAAGTTACAGATAAAAGAAACAGAATGAAAATGTTATCCAATCATGGGCCTGCCCTGGTGCACGTCTGTGTATCTGATGTTTTCTCCCATTGCTATTCCTAATAGGTGCTGCTTCTCTTTGCCTCATTATCTCCTGCTCTCCTTTGTGCTTCTAAACAAAGGCAGCGTGGCACAGGGCCATGGCTTGCTTACTGCCTGGCTGGCAGACGGAGCAGGGAGGGGTCCGTCATGTACCCCAGTCCCTCGGAGAATTATAGTACAAGACCTAACATGGATTGAGCTGTGTTGCTATGTACCAGCACTATGCATCACCTCATGCGGCCTCATCACACCCCATACCAGCACCCCTATTACATAGATCAGGAAACTGCGGCTTATAGAGGTCAAGTGGCTTGCCCAAGGTCATGGAATATGAGGAAGCCAAGACTTGAACTAGAGCAAGCAGACTTTGGCATCCAGGCCTTTGACCACAGCTGGTCAGAACTAACAAACTCCAATAGTGACTCCTATCACCAAACTGATGGCTCCTAAGGGAGGCTGATATTCAGAGACAGACAATGACCAGAACATCTGCCAGAACCCTATAAATGAGGAAGTTTTAGCCTACAGCAAGCATAATATGAAAGGAGAAAAGAGTTACTCAACAGCCATTTTGCCTCACCCTTACCTTGAGTCATGCATTTCAATTATTCAGTCAATCAACAAACATTTGCTCAACACCAACTCCATGCCAGACCCTGCACTGAATGCTGCTGATGCAAAAGTGAATACAACACAGTATTGTCCTCAAGATGCTTAGTCAGCCAGGGAAACAGATGAGGAAACAATAGCTGAGCCAGAGCCGCATACATACACACTGAGATATAGGCCTATCCTCACCCAAGACATCAGATGACCACCCCCACTGCCATTCTATGTGACTTGAAGACATCCACCTTTTCCTCAATCCATTTTCCATTGACATTTACTTCACTGTCATTAGCAGACAAGTAGAACCTTTGCAGTCCTTGCTGGCTTCTTGATATATTCTCCATGCTGTGTTTACAAACACAGCTGCAGACACGAATGACTCCTGCCACCTATCCTGCGAGATACGCTGGTGGCCTTTACATGCTGGGTTCTGTTGATGTTCCTCATGCAGCAGAGGCAGTGGCACATGAAGCATGCAGCCACCTGCCCACATCCCCTGCAGCATGGCACAAAGCCACGGGGACGCCCTGGGGCAGGGAGCCAGCAGACCTCGTTTGGGTCTCGGCTCCATTACTGTCTTGATGAGTGACCACAGCCAAAGCTGTTAACCTCTCTAGACCACCATTTCCTTATCTTTAAATTGAGGAAATTGAATAAGGAGCTTCATCAGATCACAAAGTCCCATGGAGTATCTTCATGGCTCTTGGCCCACAGTGCGGTGCTTTTTACATAATGCAAAATGAATGAGTGTGAACAGCTGCTGGTGAGGCAGACCCTGGCCTCTAGCCAGCTGGAGACCAGGGCACTCTGGCACCACGGGTAAGAGCGTGCTGCCCTGGTTCTGCCACTGGGCAGCTCTGCAACCAAGGCAAATCTGTTAACTTAGATGAGCCTCAGTTTACACAGTAACATGCTGATAATAATATTTTCTGCATTGAGTTGGTGTGAAGATTATTTGAAATAATGTGGTTTGAAGCATGTACCAAAGCCATAGACGCTGCCGCCAGTGTTATGCTTTTCTGTGCTGCCCTTGTTGTCCATTGAGGCCAAGTTCTGATGTCCTAGGGCTGACTCCTGGTTCTCATGGGCTCCATTTTCCACAGATGGGCTACCAAGCTCATGCCGTATCCTTCCCTGTCCTGCCCTGTCCCCAGCCCACAGGCTGGGCTCAGATACCGTTGACCAGACCTTCTGACCACTCAGCCAGCTGAGCACAGCCAAACCCTGCTAAGTTTGCCTGCCTGCCTGGATCCTGTGACTTCCTCCAGGAGTGCTGGTGCTTTCAGCTCCGGCCTGCCCCGTAAATGCACTTCCTGCCAGGCTCCCACCCTCCTCTTGCATCTGCCCTGGGGACTGCTGCATGCCACGCTCTGCCTTGCTCCCTGGGCCCTCACAGTGGCCTGCAGGCTTAGAAGTGCTTTCCTGCCTGTTCCTTACTTCCTGCCACT